GTCACAGTAAACCTGGGTTAAGGCATAGCAGTGCGCTTTGAAAAAGCGACATCTGGGTGGTTTGACTACTTGCTTCACAAAGCTCGCAGCACAATACATTATGCGTCTTACCCGCTCGCTGTATGTATCGTCTTATCAATGCGCGACGTCACCAATATAAAATACGACTTTTCAAGGCCAGAACGGCACCAAGCGCATCCGCCACTAAAACAATTCGATCCGGTTTATACTTTACCTCCTATGTCTATTCGGCAAAGAAGGATCATCATTCCATCATTCCCAGCGAAAGATGTAACAGTGATGTCGATGTGCGCAACGACTCATGATTTGCCATGACCACAAAAGGATTACAACCAAGCATTTATATATGGAACTTGGAAATGGCATACATTAATGCGCGTTGCTCCTTGTCACCAAGAAGACAGCTTTCAGCTCGCAACACACAAACGCGTTTGTACCGATTGACATCTGCATGGAAAAAAGGATAGCCAATCGCAAAGCCTGATCATCAAACTTTACGCGTAAGATCCGATTTGAATTTGATAGCCGGACTGGGGGCTCGCATGAGGTTTTCGTTTGCGACCTTAAAGATCGCCACTTTGCATCCTTTTAAAAGAGAATGGCGATGTGTTGTGCCATGTCGGCATAGTTTGCAGAGTATCTATGCATAAGTTGGTTGGGATGAGCCACTCCTTCCTATAATTAATTCTACAAGAGTCACTGGTCAATCGAAAATGGTCACTATCTTCGCGGAATCTGCCCGCGACTTCTGCTTTGCAGTGTAAACAAAACCTGGTCTTCTGGTGTCTTGTGTTCTGCACGATCGTAAATGAGTGTATCGTTGAATTGTGTAGGATCATAGGTGCACCAGAAGATGAACAGCTCTATCACCAGTCGTCTGAACGTTGCGTGTAAGAGACAGTCTCCGTGGCATAACCAGCCACTCCCAGGGCTCCAGAATCCCCTGCAGTGAAAGGATATACTCTAGCCAACCCGCGCTTTATGTGGTTATGGACGCGCTTTTGCGGCAGTACGACTACAAAGTGAAAGCAATGCAAATGTCAATCGATTGGGCTGGCAAACGATCATGATACGTTTATCTTGAAAAGGTATATAGATGTGGTGTCAGATTACGGCCAAATCTGATTACGAAGTTTTGGAAGCACTCCCGTTCAGCCCCAATATCGAAGCAAAAGAAGTTGGAATACCACAACCCACCGCGACAGGAAGATGGGAGTATGGAGGTCGACAACATGAATATCTGACGAAGAATTAATTCCCGATGGATTGATAGCAACAGAAAAAGCATGACGTGCTACAACTGCGAAAAACGTGACATTATGCTGGTCAGTGAACGCAGTCAAGGCGACAAGTAGTATAGGGAACGCGGGAATCAGATCGATCACAAATTCGACATCTGGTGAAGCAGGAATTTTTTAAATGAAAAAACATAATGATGAAAGAGGATATGTTAGAAATTGAAAAAGGAGAAGTGTTGAGGTAAAACAACGAAGAAAATGTCCACTACGCTTATGGGGACAAAGTACAAAACTGAACAAAAGTAGTGCGCGAATACTTAATGATTGTAGAGCTACGAACATAGTTTTCCGGCCGAAAATTGATCAGGACGTCATGTGAAAGTATGAGTGGAAGGTTTTGATGGCATGCGAACGTCAACTGGGGAAGTGAACGAGATAAAATATACGTTGCAGTAAAATGTATGGATATTCAAATACGCGGCTATGACTGATGAGATTTGAAAAGAGTGATCGTATGTCATCTTTAGGAAGTCATGATTCTAGCAATTTGATTGAGAAAACTAGAAGTCGAACAAATTTTCCAGCATGTTGTGTCAAGAAGAGGATAGTATGTGAGAGACGGATGACAAAACGCAAACATGAATACTTTAAACCACAGCAGCATTCGAATTAAAAAAAAGCATTAAACACTGATTAAAGAATGTTCTATAGAGTACAAAGATGTGCTTTCAATCAAAATATCAGACACACTGCCGCCTGAACTCGCTTTAGTCTTGAAACCTGGAGCAAAACCACTGAACATTGCATCATTCGGACTTATCAGGTAGAGCAAGCGTCATTGAACAAGTTTGTGCAACACTTGTTATGAAGGGATGGATTCACTTATCGCACAGCGACTGCGGTAAAAACTATACAAGGGGTACCAAAGCGGTACGAAAAAAAAGGGCGTATGCGGTCTCGAGGTCTAAGGTGAAGACGGCTAATACGGATACATCACCCAATGAGTGAGTCGGTGAATGACCACGACATGAAGTGGGAGAGAGAAACAGCATACAGCGTTTATAGTCAACAGACTGGCGTTGAAACAAGCTCCAGTGCTTCAGTTGCCAAGGTTAAAGCAAGATGCAAAGCATAATATGGTACGAAGAGATTGGATATGAATGTCAATCTCGAGGACGTGGCGCTACTGGCAACATGAAAAATGACATTGAAGCATGCAAAGCTCGTTAAAGTAACAGAAATTCCAACCTTGTGTCGCGTTTTATCGTACCATTCGAGATTATACAAATCATCAATCGACAATGCCATGAAGCTCAATTACCTTAATCGATGGATCGAGTCCATTATGTATTTATTGTGGCTCGACCGAAGCTATACAAAGAAATCCAAAGCAATTTCATTCGATACCTATATCAAAACCAGCACCGATAATTCTGGATGAAGGAACTAAGGAAGAGTTGTATATCGTGGAGGCCTTGCCCAAGAAGAGACAAGTATATTGCAAGAAATAATATCTGGTGAAGTGGCATGGCTATCCAGAACTTCGTGGGAACCAAGGAAACATCCAGCACGTGAAATATTTAAAGCGATTGGTTCAAGATTAGGAACGAAAGCGGGCGCAAAACTCAACAAAATAAAAGAAGCTATAGCAAGGCATCAGGAGAAAATGAAACAAACAATATCTTAAACTTATAGGTATGCATCTGGAACGGCACGAAACAGATTATACTCTAGACCATTTGTGAAACTTACATCGTATTAGATAATCTGGATGGGACTTTCAAAGAAGAATAATAGAAGAGTAGGACTTCAACAAATAACAAAGGGACTTTTGTGCAGTTGCCTACTTAATCATCCAAAGGGTTTTCCATAAACATAACATCACAAGCAAGTATTAGGAAGTCGGTCCTATCACATCTTGCACACAATTGGATTTCTCGACAGCATCAAGTTCCTTCCACGTAGATTGTCGCGAGCTTCAGCAGATAAAACGTCGTCTTCTTCACTTGTTTGATTTTATGTTTAAACAAAGAAGTAAGAGTACCTCAATCCTACCTTTTGCTCCGTCTGAACATATAAAGCTTGGATCGTTGCTGCTCGCCATCTTTCTGCGTCTTGAGCAAAGTCTCGTAACAGTATAATCACATCTTTGGAGTAAATCTTTTTGAGTCGATGCTTTAATATCCCCATTGAGTCGATCGGTGTAAAGCTGCTCCATGACATGATCCCGTACGAAAAAATTTAATGTAAAGTTGTCGTTCCGACATGGATTGATGGATAGAAGACTAGCGCATTCTACGGTAATGCAAATGTCGAATTTGTCCTTTCTGTTTAATCCGTTCTATCGTTGCAATTCGGTGAAATCGCTCAAGCACATGGCGAGTAGCATAGTCACATTACTCGCGAGGACGTGATCCAGATGAAAATAGAGGTTGTCCTCTTGCCAGTACAAAGTGTTTCGACCGATTTAATTCTCGGTGGGGATGCTAAGGTAAACTGCAATGAACGGTCTCCGAATTCTGACAGAGCTCCACATCGCCCGCCACCCAGCGACACACGACAAAGCCGAGTCTTGAGAAGGAGGAGATACTGACAGTGCTCAGTCTCTTCGCTGCACGAGTCACAGACGCCGTTCTTTTTTCTCTAGGTGGTAACGGCTTTGACATCCAGTCGAATGACCCATGAAGCCATTCACATCAACAAATGATCTTGACCAAGCTCAAGCAGCCCATGTTTTGTTACTACAACCGCAATGATTACGTTGCCACTTGCCCAAATCACAAATTCCTTACCGTTCAAGCCGTTCAGAGTCGATTGTCGCAGCCCCTACGCGTATTTGCGTAATGACGGTCCGCCCACATCCGGAACGAAACAAGAGAGGAAGTAGCACTTTTCAACCCAAAGGAAGTTTGTGCGTATCGTGACATTCATAACCTTCATAACGAATTTACCCCGAATACAAGAAATTGACGAAAGTGCCGCTGAGTATATGACTCAATTTGCCCACCGGGTGAGAGAAACACGCTCCTCATATATCAAAAACTTGACATTGCTAAGTACAAAGCACGATGCAAAGGTTGGGGTGTCAACCCATCACATTAAATTTCTGCTATTTACAGCCCGGCTCGCCACCGTGAGACAGCTGAGACGATTCCCAGTCAGAAGATTTTTACAGCAAGGTTGGTCACCTTCCACTATACAACCTGAACTGTAACGTGCAACTTTGCCTCATCGCCAAGAAAATTTAAGGCTGGGAAAAGGAAAAGGTCATAAGCGAGCACAGCACCAGGGCAATCTTGCCAAAGTGGAGCCTCAAAATCCTACAAATTTTTAGACTAATGGTGACCCTTCTACTGGTGGCATCTCTGGCGTACCCGCCGATTCATCAGACTTTAACATGATA